AAAAAATCGCAGCGACTAAATTAGACTGTCACGGTAAACTCAGATCCGATCGTTTCAATCTGCAAAAGGTCCTTTGTACGAAATGTAATTTGTAATATGGTGTGGTACGACCGGGCAAAGGTGGAATGGTAGCATGGTGCTAAATCTGGTGCAGCATCTTTTCAATGCAACTGCACATTCAAACTTCCAACTCTTTATCTGCGGTGAATGTAATAAGAAAGCAAGACACTTAACCCTACTTTTCCCAAAGCCCCAACTGAAAGATCTCAGCTCCTGTGGATTCACCACCTGCAGGAGGATCAGTGAGGGGCTGGTGCTCTGTGACTGGGTGCAGCTCTGACTGCCACCCCCCCGACCCTGAAATGGATTAAGGGGAAGAAAATGGATGGATGGATGGATGGAATGTAATGAGTCTCAGCGACATGTTTTTGAAAGTAAGAGAAAGCAGAGCCGGCAGTGAGTTATAGAATAGAGTTTGAGATTTCTCTTTTGATTAAATCTTAGGTTCGGCACCAAGGCACATTTCTGAACTTCTAACACCGTGCGAGCCACAGCCTTAGATCCTCGAGCAGGTCCCTGTTGGTCCAAAGGTCGAGGCTCCGGACCAAAGCTGATCCATTTGAACCTTCCGACGAACTGCCCGAGGAGATGAAGCTATAGCACCATCACTCCTTTCTTCTTCTCCAAACCCACTTTTATACAACAGCTTTTAACTGTCTGTTGTAGACTTCACATGTTTTACTGTTCCACGTTGTCTTTGTGTTGTCTTTGTTGTGCGTCCTGTGTCTGCTTTATTTGTATATTTGTGTAGATTTTTAAATATTCTACATTTTAATTGCTGTTTGATTCTGACTGTGGTAACATTGCTGTTTGTTTTAATGAACAAATTCATATGAAAGACTTCTTAAAACATTATGATTATTGTTATCGTTATTATGATTAGCTAGTACGATAATATGTGTTCCTATCCCTGAAAAGAGCACAACATGAGTCTCTGTATCAAAGTGCCTCCGTTTCTTTCATCTTTTTCCCACACAGACCAATCTTCTTTCTACTATAGTACCCTCAAAACCGAGTGTATGCCCTTATAATCCAAATAATGATAATAATAGTAACAATAAAAGGCAATTATTTCACAAAGAATCCAAACTCCAATGAAAAAAAAAAACGTAAATACACTCAGAGATGCTTTTTGTGTGTGTTTTTTAATAAACTTCTCCCTCCGCCTCCAGACATGTTGTTATTCTAATGTCATCAGAGCATGTTTATGAAGCTGGCTGTGTGCTCTTAATGTCTGTTATATTGTGTTTTAGTATTTTGCTTCCTATAGTAAAATAAATGAAGCACATGGTTTCAAGGATCAAACCAATCACATATCGCTGCACTGAAAAAAACTAAAGTCTTGGTAAGATTTATTTACTAAAAATAAAGTTTTTTTTTAATGGCAAGTTTTAGATTTTTTTGCATTAATATAGTTTGTCCTGAAAGACTATTTGACTAGAACCTCACTATGAATCTTATGAGAGAAAAAAGTCTGAGACAAGAGAGAGACAAGAGAGAGAGACCAGAGAGAGAGAAAGAGAGAGACAAGAGAAAGAGACCAGAGAGTGAGACCAGCGAAAGAGACCAGAGAGAGAGACCAGCGAACGAGACCATTACAAGAGACCAGCAAAAGAGACCAGTGAAAGAGACCAGAGACAGAGAGACCAGAGAGAAAGAACAGAGAGACTAGAGAGAGACCAGATAGCGAGACAAGAGGGAGAGACCAGTGAAAGAGACCAGATAGAGAAACTAGAGAGAGACCAGAGAGAGACCAGAGAGAGACCAGAGAGAGACCAGAGAGAAACTAGAGAGAGACTAGAGCGAGACCAGAGAGAGACCAGAGAGAAACTAGAGAGAGACCAGAGAGAGACCAGATAGCGAGACAAGAGCAAGAGACCGGTGATAGAGACCAGAAAGAGTCCTTGTTCAATTAAAAAGCATTAATGCTGATCTTATTTGCTTTTCCCCTGTCGCTTTTTGAGTTATCAGATAATTTTTCTGACTTTCATTTATTTTCATATGTATATTTTTTTCTTATTTTTTCCCAGGGATTTTTCCCAGTGTGTGCAGAAACAGCCTCGCCTCTCTAACGCTTGCACACATCGCTCTTTTTGAACCATATTATCTGCAGCAATTACACTAAACAAACAGCAGGAATATACAGGTCTGGCACAGGTCTGGCCAGGGATCAAAGTGATAAAAGATAAGGCGGAAAGGCAAAGAAAAAGAAACCCGGAAAGCAGGCGCGGTGCAAGCGGAGACAGGATATTAAATTAAGCAATAATTCAGTACAATTCAGGAAGACGAGACTGAGATAGGCGACAGTAGAGCTCCAGATCGGACAATCGTAATCGCCGTGACGACCACTAACAGGTCAAGTGACTGTGTCTGGAAACAAGAGCCAAACGCCACGGGCTGCAGTGTTGGTGAATGAAAAGATATGGATTGAAGTGACATTTCTGCATTTAATCCAAAAGAAAGTGTGAAGATACTTTAGAAATATAAGGTGTAATGTGTGTAAGAGAGACCAGAGAGAGAGAGAAATCAGAGAAAGACCAGAGAGAGACAAGAGAGAGATATACCAGAGAGACCAGAGAGAGAGACCAGAGAGAGACCAGATAGAGAGACAAGAGAGACACCAGAGAGAGCTGTCAGAGCGAGAGACCAGAGAGAGACAAGAGAGAGACCAGAGAGAGAGACCAGAGAGACACCAGAGAGAGCTGTCAGAGCGAGAGACCAGAGAGAGACAAGAGAGAGACAAGAGAGAGAAACCAGAGAGAGACAAGAGAGAGAAACCAGAGAGAGACACCAGAAAGAGATACCAGAGAGAGACCAGAGAGAGAAACCAGAAAGAGACCAGAGAGAGAGACCAGAGAGAGACCGGAGAGAGACCAGAGAGAGAGACCAGAGAGACACCAGAGAGAGAGACAAGAGAGAGAAACCAGAGAGAGACAAGAGAGAGAAACCAGAGAGAGAAACCAGAGAGAGACACCAGAAAGAGATACCAGAGAGAGACCAGAGAGAGAAACCAGAAAGAGACCAGAGAGAGAGACCAGAGAGAGACCGGAGAGAGGGACAAGAGAGAGCGAGAGAGAGATCAGATAGCGAGACCAGAGAGAGGGACCAGAGAGAAAAAGAGACCAGAGAGAGACAAAAGAGAGAGAGACCAGAGAGAGAGACCAGAGAGAGACCAGATGGCAAGACAAGAGAGAGAGACCAGAGAGAGACCTTGTACTGATCGTATTTGCTTTCCCGTTTGTCGCTGTTTAATCTCCCACAGCTTCATTTTGAGCAATGAGATCCGGTTTCCTAATTGTGGAGCTAGAATACACATAATTACTCTTTGGTCTGAGCCAATAGACAGAAGGGGTTGGTCTGATATTAAAGTCATTATAAATCCAGATGAATTGTTGTATAAAGCCTCAGTTGGTTAAATGAGGCTGTAAAGAGAGAGAGAGAGTGAGAGAGAGAGTGAGAGAGAGAGAGAGAGAGAGAGAGAGAGAGAGAGAGCGAGGCTTGTCCGTCTGTGAGGAACATAAAATAAAGGCCACTCAGGCAGTAAACATGGATTGGACGGGTATATCCTGAAAACAACAGCAAATGGAGGCAGTAAAAGGCACCACTACTGTACGAGGGAGAGAGAAGGAGGAGCGAGGGTCGATAATAATACACATGTCGGGCAATAAGGCTCACAGACTGTTGAGAGAACTTTCTCCAAAATCACTGGAGGAAAACTCAGAGACCTTCACTCTTTGGGGGAGGAACAGGTGCTGAATGAAGCAAAATGTATTCTGGCTCAGCCCAAACATCCTCTGATCAGAGGAGAGAGACCAGAGAGAGAGAACAGAGAGAGAGACCAGAGAGAGAGACCAGAGAGAGAGAACAGAGAGAGAGACCAGAGAGAGAGACCAGAGAGAGAGAACAGAGAGAGAGACCAGAGAGAGAGACCAGAGAGAGAGACCAGAGAGAGAGAACAGAGAGAGAGACCAGAGAGAGAGACCAGAGAGAGAGAACAGAGAGAGAGACCAGAGAGAGAGACCGGAGAGAGAGACCAGAGAGAGAGATCAGAGAGAGAGACCAGAGAGAGACCAGAGAGAGACCAGAGAGAGAGACCAGAGAGAGAGACCAGAGAGAGAGACCAGAGAGAGAGACCAGAGAGAGAGACGAGAGAGAGACCAGAGAGAGACCAGAGAGAGAGACCAGAGAGAGAGACCAGAGAGAGACCAGAGAGAGAGACCAGAGAGAGAGACTAGAGAGAGAGACTAGAGAGAGAGACCAGAGAGAGAGAACAGAGAGAGAGACCAGAGAGAGAGACCAGAGAGAGACCAGAGAGAGACCAGAGAGAGAGACCAGAGAGAGACCACAGAGAGAGACCAGAGAGAGACCAGAGAGAGAGACCAGAGAGAGACCAGAGAGAGAGAACAGAGAGAGAGAACAGAGAGAGAGGCCAGAGAGAGACCAGAGAGAGACCAGAGAGAGACCAGAGAGAGAGACCAGAGAGAGAGACCAGAGCGAGAGACCAGAGAGAGAGACCAGAGAGAGACCAGAGAGATACCAGAGAGAGACCAGAGAGAGACCAGAGAGAGAGACTAGAGAGAGAGACCAGAGAGAGAGACCAGAGAGAGAGACCAGAGAGAGACCAGAGAGAGACCAGAGAGAGAGACCAGAGAGAGAGACCAGAGAGAGAGAGACCAGAGAGAGACCAGAGAGAGAGACCAGAGAGAGAGACTAGAGAGAGAGACCAGAGAGAGAGACCAGAGAGAGACCAGAGAGAGAGAACAGAGAGAGAGAACAGAGAGAGAGACCAGAGAGAGACCAGAGAGAGAGACAAGAGAGAGAGACCAGAGAGAGACATTCAAACTCTCATCACATAAACACAATCCCAAGCAGCCAAGTGGGTGGTAAATGACTTGGTACATACAGTATTTAGTTTAGTAATGTATTTAAACATGTCTTACTTTTCCTCCGTGCTGGTGGAGTTCCTGGAGTACGGCACGATCTCACGACTGGTCTCTGTACTTTCTGTGGAGCCGGTGGTGGTCTCTGGGTTAGTGCCGCTTCGCAGGTTCAGGAGGTTCAGGTAGGACTCGCCGTTGAAATTATTCTTCAGGTTCAGACTCAATGGTTTGATGGATGACGCGATGGACAGTGGATCATCTGAAAGAGAACAGAGGAGAAAATGTTTTTTAGGATCGCAGAAAACTTGTCCATATTTGTAGTTCCTTGTGCGGCCTTTTTACTGTTTGGACGTCAACATATTTACTATAAGAATCAACTTCTACATCAACTTTAGAGTGAAAAAACATATATTGTTTGTCAAGCTACAGCCTCAGTCCTGGGTCTACAGCCTCGGTCCTGGATCTACAGCCTCAGTCCTGGATCTACAGCCTCGGTCCTGGATCTACTACAGCCTCAGTCCTGGATGTACAGCCTCAGTCCTGGATCTACTACAGCCTCAGTCCTGGATCTACAGCCTCAGTCCTGGATCTACAGCCTCAGTCCTGGATCTACTACAGCCTCAGTCCTGGATCTACAGCCTTAGTCCTGGATCTACAGCCTCAGTCCTGGATCTACTACAGCCTCAGTCCTGGATCTACAGCCTCAGTCCTGGATCTACAGCCTCAGTCCTGGATCTACTACAGCCTCAGTCCTGGATCTACAGCCTAAGTCCTGGATCTACAGCCTCAGTCCTGGATCTACAGCCTCAGTCCTGGATCTACAGCCTTAGTCCTGGTTCTATAGCCTCAGTCCTGGATCTACTTCAGCCTCAGTCCTGGATCTACAGCCTCAGTCCTGGATCCACAGCCTCAGTCCTGGATCTACAGCCTCAGTCCTGGGTCTACAGCCTCAGTACTGGATCTACAGCCTCAGTCCTGGATCCACAGCCTCAGTCCTGGATCTACAGCCTCAGTCCTGGATCTACAGCCTTAGTCCTGGTTCTATAGCCTCAGTCCTGGATCTACTTCAGCCTCAGTCCTGGATCTACAGCCTCAGTCCTGGATCTACAGCCTCAGTTCTGGATCTTCAGCCTCAGTCCTGGATCTACAGCCTCAGTCCTGGATCCACAGCCTCAGTCCTGGATCCACAGCCTCAGTCCTGGATCTACAGCCTCAGTCCTGGGTCTACAGCCTCAGTACTGGATCTACAGCCTCAGTCCTGGATCCACAGCCTCAGTCCTGGATCTACAGCCTCAGTCCTGGATCTACAGCCTCAGTCCTGGATCTACAGCCTCAGTCCTGGATCTACAGCCTCAGTCCTGGATCTACAGCCTCAGTCCTGGATCTACAGCCTCAGTCCTGGATCTACTACAGCCTCAGTCCTGGATCTGTTGCACTACAAAAAGTGATGTAAAATAAGTAAAAAATTGCAGAAATTTGGAAAAATGTGCCTTACATCCATTTTGACTGCCTTAAAACAAGATTTGCCAATGGACAAAGCAAAATGATCTTGTTTCAAAAAGATTCAAGAGATCTCTCCCATGAAAGTAGAATCTTGTTTTAGGACAGTCCAGAATCAACTCAAAAAGATTAAAAAAAAAACTCAATTCAAGCAATTATTACCTATTTTTTAATTATTTTTTGCAGTGTGTGATTCAGGACTATACAAAAATATATGAAAAATAATCTATCTTGGTGTGTACAGGGGAATCTCACCGCGCTGTGGGGGGGTGAGGGGCGTGGAGGGCGACTGTGACTCCAGGTCCTTCAGCTGCTGCACCAGGACCGTGATGTGCTGCAGCAGGTCTCGGTTCTGCAGAAGTAACTGATGGACTCGGGCCTCAGCCTCCAGTCGCGCCGCCGTCTCTGCCGCCATCTGATCCTTCAACAGCTGCACCTGCTCAAAACATCTGCCCGTTACCACCGCTCACACATACACACACACACACAAGCTTTACACAGACAAACTAGTTCTCAGGATGAAGACAGAGGTCACAGAGCTGTCTTTGAGGAAAACAGGTGAAAAATTATGTTTCTGCCAAATGTGCGGTGGGTGTGCCCCCTACTGGATCAATGAGGGTGTTTTTTTTACTGTGCATAGGACAAATTTTGCTTTTAAAGTATTTGGTTCATCCATGTTTATATTATTATTTTATATTAGCATATGTCTACATAATAATTATATTAATGCATAGGTTTTATATAGCACTTTTCAGAACGCTCAAAGACGCTTCACATGTCATTCATTATTCATTCACTTCCTACACGGTGGTGATAAACTACTACTGTAGCCACAGCTGCCCTGGGGCACACAGACAGAAGCGAGGCAACCAGTATGTGCCATCAGCCCCTACAACCATTACCAACCATTCACACACACACCAGACTCATTCTAGGAACTGTGGGTGAAGTGCCTTGCCTAAGGACACATAGACAGTTTGGTATTTTACAGCAGCCGGCCCCCCACTGTGGCACCTGTTGTTCCCGGAGGTCTCCCATCACAGTCCTAACCTGCCCTGCACAGCTTCAGAGGTCTGACGGGATCATGTGATATCTGTGTGCATACATGCATATATCTGTTCATCTGTGTTGGATGAAGTATTTTGTTGTTGTTGTTGCACTATTGTGAACACATGTAACGACAAAAAAGGTTTGGTCGTTTTTCAACAAACTTTGAAAAAAAACTTTTAATAAACCTAGTTAAACTAAACAGGTTTTGGGTACATTTCGAATAATTCCATTGGTTTTGAACGGGAACAGTCAAAATGACGGCTCTGGAAGTTCTCGTAGTTTAAGAATTCTGGGAGTCATAATGTTAACAAACCACTACACAACAAGTGTAAAAATCACTGTTTGTTTAGGATTGTTGATGTTGTGTTACCTGCGCCACAGCCACTTGTGTGTGTGTGTGTGTGTTTGTGTGTATTCTTGTTGTGTTGCCTGTGCACAGCCACTTGTGTGTGTATTCTTGTTGTGTTACCTGCGCCACAGCCACTTGTGTGTGTGTGTATTCTTGTTGTGTTACCTGTGCCACAGCCACTTGTGTGTGTGTGTGTGTATTCTTGTTGTGTTACCTGTGCACAGCCACTTGTGTGTGTATTCTTGTTGTGTTACCTGCGCCCCAGCCACTTGTGTGTGTATTCTTGTTGTGTTACCTGCGCCACAGCCACTTGTGTGTGTATTCTTGTTGTGTTACCTGCGCCACAGCCACTTGTGTGTGTGTGTGTGTGTGTATGTGTATTCTTGTTGTGTTACCTGCGCCACAGCCACTTGTGTGTGTGTGTGTATTCTTGTTGTGTTACCTGTGCACAGCCACTTGTGTGTGTGTGTATTCTTGTTGTGTTACCTGCGCCACAGCCACTTGTGTGTGGGTGTATTCTTGTTGTGTTACCTGCGCCACAGCCACTTGTGTGTGTGTGTGTGTATGTGTATTCTTGTTGTGTTACCTGCGCCATAGCCACTTGTGTGTGTGTGTGTGTGTTTGTGTGTGTATTCTTGTTGCGTTACCTGTGCACAGCCACTTGTGTGTGTGTGTATTCTTGTTGTGTTACCTGCGCCACAGCCACTTGTGTGTGTGTGTATTCTTGTTGTGTTACCTGCGCCACAGCCACTTGTGTGTGCTGCTGCTGCTGCTGAAGCTGCTGCTGAATGAGCTGCAGATAATGTTGTGAGGCCAGAGGAGTGAGCGCCGGGGAGCAAGGGCTGCTGGGAGATACGCCCTGAGACGTCACGGTGAACACGGACCCATGCTCGAAGTCCTGGCAACAAACAACACACGAGAACACAGTTAAAGCTGGGGTATCTAACTTTAAAGCTGGGGTATCTAACTTTAAAGCTGGGGTATCTAACTTTAAAGTGTGATAGATATATGTGTTGTGAATACATCAGAGTTATAGATTGTTATACTTAAGAACCCTGTGAGTCACTATTTGTCCATTTAGGCTCAGAGCTGATTGGCTGAGTGAGGGTGGTCCTCTCTTTTTTACTTTTCTGTCCGACTTAGCTGATCTGCAGATGTGACAGAAGCCAAAACTAGTCATAGAACCAGATGGATGGATTTTTTATTTTTACATATTATTTTTGGGTGTAGTTTGAAAGTTAGGTAGACCAGCTTTAAATCCATATGTTAGCTGGTCTGGTAGATTTAATTATCCGTATAGCTTGCCGAGATGCTCAGTTATTAGACACAGATACTACTGTTAAATGTGCAGCTTATTCATATTGCAACACATTCGCACAACCACTAGGGGGCAGAGTCGCACACCTTCAAGCACAGTAGTAGCTGCATGAGTTGGGGGGGAAAAAAAAGAACATTTCGAAAGATACATTATAATTTCAATCTTAGTTATTTTCGGGTGTGACAGTGACCATCCCAAGTGCAAATACATATAAACTTTAATCTCTGTCCAGTACAGTAAAGATTGACTTTTTTTGAGGGACTTTCTGCTGTTTCTACCGCTCTGTAACAATGTGTAAAATTCACCGAAATAAACTTCATTCATTCATTCATTCAGACCGGGAACTTTCCTCCATCTATACACGTGCAGCCACCGGGTCAGCTGTCATTGTCAATCTGTGTATACAAACAACTACATTTGTCCATCTCATATCTTACGTGCACATCCAAATATATGTATACAAATTATATACCTCAGTGAAACAAGATTCAACATCGCATGAATTTATTATTGAGGATTAAAATCAATCCCAAATGACTTTCTGTCATTGAACAACTGTGCAAGACCCAAAATGCACCAGAGCGATAGTACACACCGGAGTTCTTATGTTATTTTGACTGTTTCTAACTGTTTTTGACTGTTGTTATTGCTTCAGGCTAACTGTGCAACGCTTTGTCAACACTGTTTTCGAAAAAGGGCAATACAAGCAAAGATGTATTAACATTATTATCATTAAAATATTTGTATACAAAAATGAGAAACCAGGTACTGATTTCTTTTTGTTTTTTATTATTATTGAGAATTAACCCTATAAGCCACTTTAAGGTTTTTTTCCTGAGGCTCAAATTTGACATTATAATTTCTCAATATCTTAAATGTGAAAGGAGATAGAAGCTTTATGTATATTAAAGAAATTAAAAGGATGGCCCAAAGTTTATGTAGGAATTAAATGTACCTATCTAATTTGCATATTATGAAATTTTATGGTGGTGGCAATTGCAAATTCCATCCATCCATTTTCTTCCGCTTTATCCGTTGCCGGGTCGCGGGGGCAGCAGTCTAAGCAGAGACGCCCAGACTTCCCTATCCACACACACTTCCTCCAGCTCGTCCGGGGGGACCCCAAGGCGTTCCCAGGCCAGCTGGGAGACATAGTCCCTCCAGCGTGTCCTGGGTCTTCCCCGGGGCCTCCTCCCGTTGGGACGTTCCCGGTGCCCGAGCCACCTCAACTGGTTCCTCTCGACGTGGAGAAGCAGCGGCTCTACTCCGAGCTCCTCCCGTGTGACCGAGCTCCTCACCCTATCTCTAAGGGAGCGCCCAGCCACTCTACGGAGGAAGCTCATTTCGACCGCTTGTATCCGCGATCTCGTTCTTTCGGTCATTGCAAATGACCGAAAGATTGCAAATTTTCAGACACAAATCCCCAGGACATGAACACACACAAACAAAACTCACATTGTACTATACTCAAGAGTCAGGAAAATAGTCAAACTAGTAAATCTAGACACAATCGTCGTTTTAAACAGTACCGACTATTGTCAACTTAAATCAACCGTGGCGCCTGGAGGGTTAAAATCAATTCCAAATTACATTCTTGCCTGATTCAGAAGTTGTGGTATCAGAATGTAACCAAAACCCATAACAGTGGTACAGTTCATGGGGGGTCCTCATTGTTCCTCATCCTCTGTGTACACTGGTCCCATCACGCCTCGCTTATCACCTCACAGCAGATGTTACTGAACCCCTTAAACGGGATTATGGGTTTGGGGGATTAGGTAACCCCCATAACAGTGAGTGGGAATATTTTAATCTTTTTTTTTTTTTTTTTTACCAACACAAAACATCTCATCCATAAACAGCACGGAATCTCACCCTAATCTCTCTCTCTGTGTAGACTCTGCATCTGGAAGCTAGAACACCTTCTAACTCTGTCTCAGTCCAAATGCTGCAATGCATTTTTTTTGAGAAATCCCAAATCCTTCAGCCGTAAGTATTTCATGTCATCTGTGATTAGTCACCGTGCAGCGCTCTCGAAGATTGGCCAGGTACCGCAGCCGATGACAAAGCACTTCTGTAGCGCAATGAGCCGTTTGGCAGCAGTGTGGCCAGATAAGAGCATCAACACACAGGCTTTAAGGCCAAAGCAATGCATCAAAGCGCCGTCCGCACCCCCCCCACCGCTGTCAGAGTGGGAAAATAAACATGTCATTTCTCACATGTAGGATTCGAGATTTAAGATTCAGTTTATTTGTCGTTTGCAGTAAAACCACAGTGGAATAACATGTGCAAAAGTAGCCCGGTGTGGCCCAAAACAAGACAAGGACGCTGCAGATGGCTCCATGTTGTTTCTTTCTTATTCTCTTATTTTAAAGGTATATATTATTTTAGGAAATAACCTCTCTGGTTTTATTAAGTATAAAACAAATGTAAATATGCCGGATTATTGCTACCAAGCTAGTTTTCATCTGTAGTCCCTGGGCAGGAAAATACATAGGAAATATCATTTGAAGAGCACGTATGACCAGAAGGATTGGCCAATAGTCTTGATGATCCACCCGGAAGCAGAAAATACTCTTTAGATATTTTCAATTAAATAATAAATTCAGCTTGTATCGCCCTGAATCTCAACTGTAGTTTTCTCAGAGGACTATACCAAACCGTTGAATTAACCCAACAGGGATGTGACTCAGTGTTGCTTTAAAAACCAGGGGAAAATCACTGAAAATAGAATTCAGCCTTGAGGCAAAGAACTACTCCACGAGCTCCTGAATCCAGAACATTTCCAACAAACTAATTTTTTTCTACATCTTTTTCTTTTTGTTAACCCTTTAATGTTCACGCAGAAAGCAATGTCATTTTTTTTCTTTTTTGGATTTTCTAAGATGTTTCTTTATGTTTATTTTTCCACAAACTACGCTGGTTGCGCAGCTTCTAACTTCAGGTTGACATTTGGGAGGTCTGGCGTCTAACAGAGTTTTTATCCAATCATTGCTCAGCGTCACGTGTTGCTATGGCCCGATCTGCCTCTAGGCCTTCAGAGTCTACATTGCTGGCCCCCAGTAGCTTAAAGTAAATGAAAACGAACTTATGGCATTAACCAATCAGTGTCAAGTCTGCTTCCTCAGCTGGCCCTGCGCGGCGTCAGAGCATGCACACCTTTTGATTGGAATACGCGATACAGAGAGACGTGACAATGCAGACCATGGATCTACGTTCATGTGATAAACAGAAACAAAAACAAATGCTAATATGTGTAGCGTAACAACTTGTTTTAGTTTTTAAACCCTCTACGGCTGAAGGAGGTGAATATATTGTTCTGGTAGATAGTTAGAACACCTTTCTCAAGAAAAACAGAGACAGGGACCAGGAGAGCCAGGACCAGGAGAGCCAGGATTATGCCTGGACCAGAGGATACACAGCTGCGGCAGAGCTGAGGCTAAAAGCCGATGGGAATAACAGTTTGTCAATAAGCTAACCTAAGTAAGTAAGTAATCTTTATTTATATACCGCCTTTCACAAACCAGAGTCACAAAGCGGTTTACAATTGCTATTTTTGGGCACTTGTCCTCTCACTCCACACAGAGATGGGAGCGAGGTCACCAGTACAGGAGGCGCATGCCAGACCTATTGTACATATTTCTAGTGGTAGGGGAAACCTACGCAGTCATGGGGAGAACATGCAAACTCCACTCAGAAAGGCCCTGGTCCAACCGGGATTCGAACCCAGGACCTTCTTGCTGAGAGGCAAGAGTGCTATCCACTCAGCCACCGTGCCGCCCAACCTGTGGAGCTAGGCTAATGCAAAAGACACACAGAGCCGCGTCCTGTCACCACCGGTAAGAAACCAGAACGTTAAAACTCATACGCAATACTTTTATTGTAGTTAAACTTTCCCACATAAATGCTCAAAACTGTGTCAACTGTGTGAACGCTCGTGTTGCTGTCAGTCATGTTCTCAGATACTGTCAGAGAGAGAGAAAGTTGTGCACGAGTGTGTCAGGGGTGTGTACAAACTACAGCGATGTGCCTCCTGTCATGTTAACGCAGGAGGCACACTGCTGTGGGGCTGGGGGCACTAAAAAAGTTGGAGATCGCAGGATAGGACATCACTGCAGGCGCAGGTCTGAAATGCACTTTTAAAAAGTGAAAGGATCATCTCTTTTGCACAAGATATATTATGTACAAATCAAATCAAAGTGAGAGATGGTCTTACTATTATGGTCTGTCCGGGTCTGACCACGCTGAGTTCCGCCAGACTCTGCAGGATCTCGTTCACGGGGCCCTGGTCTGGTCTTCCCGGGCTCTTCCCCTCCTCCTCCTCCTCCTCCGTTTGGCTCTGGTCTACTGTCAGCTCTCGGCCTGAACCGCAAAAAAAACAAGGACACAGTTTTCCACATAAAAAAGGTGTGGGGCAGAAGAAGAGAACAAACAAAGAACAGTTTGTGGGAAAAAACAACAGAGACAAATACAGAGTGTGAAGACAAGAGACGATTAGGAGGACGGATTACAGCAATTACTACTGACACCAGCGCAGACCTCCGTGTGCTCCGCCAGAGGGAGGACCGGAGAAACTGTTTGTGCGATATTTAACCTTTTCTTTTGATCCGCTAGCTTCACAAAACAAGAAATAAATAAAATGTTAGGGCCCAGGTTTATGCGACTAATCACGGGTTTCAGGATCAAAACAAATCAGGACCATTGTTACAGTCAATTACGATTCTAATCAAAATACTACGTTTTAGAGAAGGAAAATGGTCTTCGAAATGTTGTTGGAAATGAGGAGTTTTCTTTCTTTTTATGATAAGATATTTTTCTCGTACCATTGGCATATCTTGTTTTGAAGTTGCAATATGTAAGATTTTCATGTCAAGTCATCATTAAAAAGCCCAAATCTGTCAAAAGGCATAAATAAACTATGGTCTTTTCGAAAACTTCTTTAACTAATTACAGTGGTTCAGAGATATTTGGATTTTAAAATTAGTTTTACAGCCCCTAAATCTTGTTAATGTTTTCATTTCGTTGTCCCGCCCTCCACCGTTTTACCAAACAGAAAGTCTGTGATCCGGGTTGCCAGAACTCACTGTGTCGAGCTAATCTCACTGGTACAGTAACATGTGGCAACAGAACTAAAACGGTCTTGTTATGATTCTCAAATCATTAATAACAAAACAAGGAATAAAACGTGAAAAAGGTGTTGGTTATAGATTTGTTGTTGACCAAACTCTTGTCTATTCAGTTATTACGGTCCCAGCTGGATTCGTCTGCATATCTGGCAACCTGAGTCAGGGAGAGTGGGAGAGGTGGCAGTACCACCAGTATCAGAATTTGCAAAAATGAAGATACATTTTGCCAAATTTGAGCCATTTTTCACTTACTTTTTATCACTTTTTTCAGTGTAATCCATTTATTATATTCAATATTGTGCAATCTGTAAATGCTTTGGGGATCTACTTGAAAAGGGAACCCACAATAAAAAAAGAAAATGCAACAAAATATTCATATAGTTATTATTATTATCATTTTTATTAACCAAATGTCCCAATGAGATTTCAGGGGAGTCCTAGCCCTAGAGAGAGGAGAGCTACTATATGTGTATGATTGATACAACCATATATTCTAATCATGACCACACAGTACCTTCTGTTTCACCCTGCCCGTCCTCCGGTTGGTCCTCGGCGTCCTGCTCGATGTGCTGGAGGCTGATCTTATGACACACCTCGAAGGCCTGGCCCACAGTTCTTACTATGCGCATGGCCTGGGTCTGTGGACCAATGAAACAATGCAAAATCAGAAATATTTTTGTTGTCATGCGAGTTACAGGAAGTCACAGTCAAGGAAATGGCTTTGGCAGAATAGATTAAGGCATAGTAAAAATTGACATGCATTAATCAAATATCAAAATTATTATAATGATTACTATTACTATAATAACCCGATTATATTTTGAATTTACAGATTTCCAGTGTGAGTGTAGAAATAGCAAACACTTTTATGGTAATCTGCCCCTCATGGACCAATGGCTCTGTTTTTTTTGTCCATTTTTTTTCCAATCATTGCAAATTGCTGTTTGATTCTCTGATCTGTGCTGGCAAATCAACCACTTAGTAGAATCCTCCAATAACTCCAGTTATGATTTAGATACAAAAATACATTGCATGAAATTGAATGTACCTTTTTCTTTGATTTGAAAACGTTACATCTAAAAGAATTGTTGGAGCTGTCTCTTGCGATGTAGCTGAAGATCTTAAGGTCCTGAGAGTCGTGAGACACATAGAAGATTCTGTAAAAGAGGAGAAAGAAGAAAATATTCAACATATTTAAGAGTGAGTTCTGCTCAAGCGGCTGGTCCGAGAACAATAACAATTCTGTGTTGCTTTGTAGGGTAAGTAAATTCACTTTATATTCTTGCTTTTTGCCATTACCATCATTTGGCCCCCGTTTAGACAAGTAATTTACAAAGGCGACTAGGCTTCTTATTAAAAGCTATTTAAACGACCGAAAAACAATGTCAAAAACGTAGTTCTAGTGCCCGGCCAGTAGTGGGCAGTGGAACGTTACAACACGACACACGCGACCCCCAGCAGTACAACCACTTATTCAACAACATTCTCCTCAGGCGCCGCAAAGTTCTGAAGGAACCAAAGCCATTCTGCATTTAACAGAAGCTGCGAAAATGGAAACTGGAACTACAGCTTGCATGGTTTTGTTTGGACAAACGAAGGTGTAGAATTCTCCTCCGTGAAGCGAAGCACAGGTTATTAGTTAGTGTACCCGCCGCCATTGTTGTGTACGTTTGTTCTCGGCGCATGTCCAAATGTACATGGGGGAAGTGGTGAGGTCAGAGCAGCAGAGAAATGAAAACAGCTCCCACAGTGTATCTGAGCTGGTCCACTCTGGGGGCTGGTTCTCGACGCTCACGGCTTCACCTGAAACACTGTCTCCATGTAAACAGGAGCCAAACCGATACCCAACTCTAGCGTTTTATTGTCGCAGCGTCCTGCAGTAAACAGAACATTTGTTTGATTAGAGATGAAATGCCATAAAGATTTGTTGGTGAAAGCCTCCAGTCCACGTCCACTACAGCTGATATTGAGACCGACCTTTTCCATCTGTAATCATATAGTTTTCCTTGTCCAATTTGTACTTCTATCTATTTATGTTTTTGTTTCTATCTATGTTTTTTGTTTGGGTAATAGCTCCCTCTAATGTTAAACTTGCTTTCTAAGATTTGCTGCATGAGAAAATCAACATATATCTGATTTGTTATGCAAACCTGTTAAAATGTGCCTATTTTTAGAGCAGCAAATGGATGGTTAGCCGCGTGCACATGCTACAGGATACTAGATTATTTATTGCCAAACCTGCTGCATTGGCCTGATTGAAGATTTATCAAGTAAAGTGCAGCGTGGGAGCAAAGCGAAACAGCTTCACCTAGAATATTCTTTGAAATGATTTTTGTCCTTGATGTTGATATTGGCACAGTGTAGCATTTAGTCATGATAAAAAACAGGTTTCTCAGCCCCTCACCTGTAAATCGGATCATGCATGACCTGCATCTTGCTCTCGTCCCACGCCCATTCTTTCCTCTGTTAAAAACAAACAAGAAAGTAAATCTAAATATCTGTATCATTTCCACTTTTTTAACATTTTCAGCATTACACCAAGGTCAGTGAGGATTCTAATGCAAACTACTGTTGATTGTTGCAACCCACTCTCTCAGAAAACTAATAGTCACATTGGTCCATCTCTTAAAGAATACCACAGTCTGGACTCTCAAACTGTGGCACTCTTACATATGTTTGTAATAAAAAATGCTATAAAGTAAGTTATTAAGTAAAGTTTATAAAGCGCCTTTCACAGACCAGGATCACAAAGCGCTTCACATTTAAACATACAGATAAAAATAATACACAAACATGTGTAAAGATGGCGCCGTGGCAAGAGCTCTGGTGTGTGTCGTCTGGTGCACACTGGGGTAGTCTTGCACAGTTTTTCCAATGTGGTTTTACTGCAAATGGCAAATAAATGAATCTGAATCTGAATCTAAAACAAGTCAGTCAAGTCTATAAACTGCAGTTTTGGACTATAATTATAAGAAATGTCGGTCATTTAAATTTTTCCGCCCTCGCAGGAAACGTTGTGGTCATGTGACTCCCATAGAATAACATGACAAAAAAAAAGTAAGAATGTTGCAGTGTCAGAGCCCAAGCTGTGGTTATTCTTACAGTTTCAGAGGTGGACCAATGACACTATTACAGTTTTCTGAGAGAGTGCGTTGGATTATTACAGTCTAAACATGTTAAACTACAGGGTCCTTAGGCGGCACGGTGGCTGAGTGGATAGCACTCTTGCCTCTCAGCAAGAAGGTCCTTGGTTCGAATCCCGGCCGGACAAGGGCCTTTCTGAGTGGAGTTTGCATGTTCTCCCCGTGTCTGCGTAGGTTTCCTCCGGGTACTCCGGTTTCCCCTACCACTAAAAACATGCACAATAGGTCTGGCATGCGCCTCCTGTACTGGCGACCCCGCTCCCATCTCTGTGTGGAGTGAGAGGACAAGTTCCCAAAAATAACAATTGTAAACCGCTTTGTGACTCTGGTCTGTGAAAGGCGGTATATAAATAAAGCTTACTTACTTACTTACTTACTTATCACTGTAACTGATTGATCACCATAGCAACACACAGTTAGCAAAGTTAGCACAGCTTGCGTATGAAGTTGGAATACATCAGCATGTTGAACTAAATTGCTAAACATGCTAAATATGTATTGTTTTCCGGAGAACTTTGCTTTTGTCGTCTATTTTTTGTGAGTGTGTGTGTCTTAATTTTGGTCCTGACAACTGTTGCTAAGGACCTTTTTTCTTCTTCTGGCTCATAAAGTAGTCCCTTTCCTCAAACATGTTTTTCAGAGCATAAAAGACAAAATATATGTTTTCTGAGTTATGAATGTGTGGCTGTTTTGACCTTGGTACAAGTTAGGGCTTTGACTTCAAAGTTCAAAATTCGAATATAATTCGAATATCAAAATATATATATATTTGAACGAATATTAGACAGGCCTTAACATTCGAAGCTGTAATGGGCATTATCTTTTTTTAAATGATATATGTATATATGTGTATATATATATATATATATATATATATATATATATATATATAAAAATAGTTAATTCCCAAAGGTTGCACAGTGACGTGACGTGGCTAGGCTAGAAACAGCTACGCTAGTAACAGCTACGCAAGCTAACTAACTAGAACTCTCTGGAACTACATGAAAACTTAAAGAATTCTGAACATCAGCGGTGAGTTACCCATTTTTATACCGAACCTAAATCCATAATCAGATCCTCTTCAAATGTGTCCTTAAATGTTCCACTAATGTTGATTGTTACTTCTGGGTTTTTCGCGATTGTTTTTGGTCACATTAAAACAGTATTTTTGTCATGAAAACGTTTACAGATAATTCTGATGAAAACCTCTGTGCACGTGTGTTAAGAATGTATATGCATAATTTATTCTCCCATTAACATTTAAATGTATTGATTGATTGATATTTGTGTTATTGAGCATGGCTAGCTCCGATAGCTTCCCTGCACAGACAGAAGTAGTGACATATTTGAATATATTCAAATATTTAAATTAATAAACAAACAAGCTTCGAATAGGATTTTTGTGCAAAAGTCAAAGCCCTAGTACAAGTGGAATACATACTTTTTGTTTCTTCCTCAGGACCACTTTGACGCCGTCGACGGACACAATGATGCTGACTTTCTTCTTTTTGATATTCTTCGCCTTGAATTCATACTAAATAAAGAGAAAGAAAAATCAACATTTAGTCCTAAAGTCATAAAACATGTGCATAAGAAAATACACTGAATACATAGTGTATATTTTCTTCCAAAGATCAAACAGAAAAGCCTCAGGTCTTTGCATTCTGACAAACACCAGCTGTCGCCACGGCAACATATTTCTAATCTGCTCAACCAGTCACCACAAGCAGAAATACCTCGCTAGCTAAAACAACCAGTTGACTCCATATGACTCCACTAAAACACTAATCATTTATATACACTTATAAAACTAAATTGTATATGAATATTTATTTTAATGGTTAAATAAAGTGGTCATTTCTTTTGCGGCGAGACAACAGAAAACATTGATACATTGCCTGCTGCTAGGATTACCATATTTATACTTAATTCCTGCTTCTTATTATGATAAAGTTAGAGATTTTTTACTTGCTTCTTTATTGTGCTAATGTTAGAGATGGTATTTAATTTTAGTATGGAGTCATTGTTCATTTATCTTGTGCTGTGTGCTCCTCATTCCTACTGGTCTGTAACTTGGTGATGCAACACTGACATTTCCCCACTGTGGGACGAATAAAGGAATGCTTGATCTTAACCTATTGTCTGTCTTTTCACTCCTTTTTTCCCCAACTCACCTCTGACAACATCCCTGACTCCTTGCTAGCTTATTATTTTTATCTCGTTAGCATATGGCGAGCTAACCAGATAAAAATAATACACACATGTAACTCTTGACAATGAAGTAGTCGCTGAAGTTAGTATTAGCGCCACCAGCTGGGCCGAACGTTGTACTACAGCACAGTTGCTCTGGCACGGTTAAAAGGAAAAGCCCTTGTGACCGCTAGCTCGCCATATGTAACTCATATGGCGAGCTAGCCAGGAGTCAGGGCTAGGCAGGGTGACTGTAACTAGTGACCAATCAGAGAACCGGTTCTAAGCCTTAAGAAATAGTGTTACATCTTACTTAAAGGAGAAAGATGATACAAAATTGTTCTTCATCTTTTACGTATCTGTAATTATCCACGCTAATATCCGGAACTTCTGGCACAAACATGACTCCGCCCCTTTCTGTCTAAAAGCTCCTGTCTCTGTCCTGTAAAAGTATGACGTCATTGGACTTCTTTATGACATCACTTAATAATCTGAGGCCAAAAGTCCCATATGTGATTCTTTCTCATTAGAAGGTGGTTTCTTGAGCTGCCACGGCCATTGCATTTTCACACTATACAAAAGCCAATCCCCAGAGAGCTGATTAAAGAGTAGAGAGAGCAGGTTTGGTCTAGAATATGTCAACAAAAAGCCGTGTTAGTGAGTTTACAAAGCGGGTGTGGAACATTCTCCGCCCACACAACTATAACCTGGTTCGGTCTTGCTGTTTCGAGGATTTTTCGTGTGCATTTTTGCGTGCTTCTCATCTGCCGAATTTATATACTCCAACAACATCATGTGACCTAGTATATAACATGACAGCTACCTATACTTACAGTCAGTTTTGGCTTAGTTCAGAGACCACCGCAATTTTCCCTTTGCCCTGGGTCCTGCTTCTACCCCTCAAGTGTCCTCTAGAGCTTGATGTTACAGTGCATGCTCGGCTTTTGACAGCTGCAGCAGCGATCAGACCTGCAACGAACAGGTTTGATATCTTCAGCCTTAAAGAGCTGCTATTTCACGGACTTTGCTAATTGTAGCCTATTTTTAGAACGGCAGACCACTGTAATATATGTATGCAATTCATTTTAATTACAGTTACGCCACTCCCATGTGTGGAGAGAGAGACAAACGCCCACAACAATTGTAAAGCGCGTTGTGACTCTGGTCTGTGAAAGGCGCTGTATAAATGAAGATTAAAGAGATTACAAAGTTTGAGTAATAAGGGAAAGTTAGATGGATAAATGAGCTTTGATCGGCTTCTCCGCAGAGCACACAGAATAAGGAACCAAAAGTTGTCAGACCGGTTTGATAATGATCTCCGTATTCTTGTGCTTTGTAAACACACTCACAAAAGCAAAACTAAAAATATAAACAAAATAACCCTCAGCAGCTCTACAACAATATCCCCCTGAGCCACTTCTGACCAAAGTCAAAACAGTCCCCATCGTGTTGACTCATCGTGTTTCCCAGACAGCGTGCTTCAGCCGTCTGCAAATCCATTATGAAAGTGCCAGACGGGAAAATGATGCTGCCACTTTTCATTGATGTTTCATTCTTTACTTTGTTTGAAGGTTTTTCTCAACTCCCCAATATTTGTATTATATATTCAAATAATGTGGACACAGACAGGAGTCACAATCATAGTGTGAGATTTCATAACACTTTTAAGCAACTTTTGTTAAAGTTAAACTCATCATTCTATCAATGTGCAGAAGCCAGTACTTTTCCCTTGTTGTGTCTATCTGAAGGCCAAGCTACATGGCACCGTGGAAGCTGCTGATTGGAGGTCTCCATGCCTCCGCTCTGTATAATACACTTGCATTCTCTTGTATCTGTTGTTCGTGCTGTCTCTACCATCGACAATAAAACATGTCTTCTGTCTGAATATAAGACGCGATCCCAGACTTTGTCATCTTCTTCAATAGGCCGTATATTAGGAGTGGACTGACCCAGGGCTGATGGCTCCTCATGTATAGTGTGTATTTTGTGTGCTCCCTGCGTGCTCTCCCTACTGTCTTGTATCAGCAAAGAAAGATTTCTCACCAATCCAAATAACTTTATCAAGGGAATGAAAGCGAGTTAGAGATTTATATTAATGGAAATCTCCAACTTTATTTTATATTAAATCTCCAAATCGCGGTCTGAGATTTCATTCCCTTGAAAAAGTTCTTTGGATTAAGGACAAAACGTTGGGAAAACCTGCTAAGAAGTACAGATGATGGATGAGAAACCTTTCTTTGCTTTGACTAATCCCTGTACGACTGAGAGCTTACACAAACTTACTGTTCTGTATGTGCACTACAATAATGAAATGTACCCACTGTGGGACAAATAACGGTTCTCTTATCTTATCTAAATGTGAAAGAAGCTGATTTGAACAGACGCAAACTGGAGCCAAATTCATTACATGGGCCAATTTTAACAAGGAAAGACAATTTGAGTATTAGTAATAGTAATAATAATATTTCTCAACAGATGTGTGGATCATGTGCGGTATTGTTAGTTAGTTAGTTAGTTCACTACAAACGTTTATAATGTATGTACTTCTGTGTTTGTCTGGATGAATGTGTTTCTGCTTCTGGATCAATTAAACCTGATCTATTAAATATCTATCCATGTATCTATCTAGAATTCCCAGTATATGACCGATTAGTTCATCTGCAGCTGAATGACAAATAAACAGGCGCGCTCAAACATCCGGGAAATATGGTAGTTTTACATAAATAGTCTGAAGAAGATGACATAGTCTGGGGTCGTGTCTTTAATTCAGACAGAAGACATGTTTTATTGTCGATGGTAGAGACAGCACAAACACGAACAAATGTTACAGACTGCAAGTGATAATATACAGCGGAGTAATGAACACCGTCCAATCAGCTTTCGCCGCAATGCCATGTAGCTTGGCCGTCAGAAATCAAAACATGTCGTGGAAAAGTACTGGCTCGTGCATATGTTAAGCCTAGCGTACATCGACAGAGAAACTGGAGACAACTAGTTGCAAGGCGGCTTTTGGCAACTGAGAGTAGATGATGGAGATGATCAGTTGCTGAAATCGGTCGATGTGCGCGCTCTTACAACTCGAGATAAACAGTCGGTCTCCAGTTTCAGTCAGTTGCCCGTGTTCTACTTTTCGGCAACTATTTGTCCTCAGTTTCGGAGATATGACCCGATGTGCGCGCTCCATGCGCCGCTCCGACAACGTGTGTGTATTGCGTGTATTGCGAGCCCGCAACAGTTTATGTCAGAAAACACACTGTAGTTGAGGCCAGTTGCTGTCGATGTACGCGCTGTTATTCCCGAGACTGGTCTGCGACTGGGAGTTGCCCGTTTTCGTCAGATTGTCGATGTGTGCGGGGCAGCAACTCATATGCGACGGATATAATCAGTTGCCAGTCCGATGTACGCTAGGCTTTAGAATGATGAGTTAGAACTTTAACCACAGTTGCTTCAAAGTGTCATGAAATCTCTAAAAGTCTTGTAAAAGTGAAACAAAGTGAGTCACTGTTCGAGTTGAATCAGAATCACTTTTATTGCCTTGTAAGTAACAGGAAGTTTCATTCATTTTCAGATGCAACAGTGAAAGAAGAGAAATAAAGAATTGTATAATAAACAAAATATCAACTTTCATCTTTAGAAAACATATGAAGCGAATGCCAGGTCAGTAACTGTGTGCCATGTTATAGCACCGTTCTTTGATGTTGGGTAAAAAAAAAAAAAACAGGAGAAACTCACAGAGGAAGCAGCAGGGCGACCTTTTCTAATAAAAGATATTTATGCTTCAGATTAACATTCAACAAATCGTGCACCTGCCAACCGCCGGCTTCTTATGGATTCCTGTAGCTCTGGAATTAAAAGAGGCCCAGTGAGTCCTTTTGAAACTGTATTCATGGAAAAAGTCCTAATTTTGGATTCCCTTTTACAGAAAAAAAAACATGAAATAAGTGGAACCCCCCACTCTGCCGGGGTGGTAAAGCCGAGGAATGCCAGGGTGCATTGTGGGTCACCGACACTCCCTGCTGAAGAACCATTGAATCTATACAGCACTTTACAATGGGCCCTATACACAGCAGCCTAGCAACGCCTTCAACGCAATTCACAAGATTAAAGGACTTCCAAGGAGTTTTGTTCCCAGTGACCTCACCGGGAAAATGGCCGTTACAAGCTCAGGAAAAGGAAACGGCGCCGCTGTTGCTGAGAGAGAGATACATTATGTGACAGACGGACCACATCGTCACGTTTATGAAGTTTTTTTCTGAAGCCAAAAACAGGCCAATATATGCAGTAAATCAGTCCCTTAAAAAGATATTACACAAACTTGAAAACACTGTCAATGAACGAAGGATT